GGGTTATTTATAATAGAGTAGTAATCGTTCATACACATGTTGGATGTCGTTGATGAGCACAACTTAGTACTATATGGGATAGTGCGTCGACATACCAGATATACACAGTTTATATATGAGGTGGATATCGTCGATGAGTTCGGTTCAGTACTACATGAGGTAGTACGTCGATATTCCACATGTACAGGCCATTGAGTCGAATTTTAGGAGGCTTGATCTAGCCGTCCGTCCCGCACTAGGGTGCGATGAGTCTCGTGAGCCGTATTTCTAGGATGCCTATTTGGTGGTCCATCCCGCACTCATGTTACATACTAAGATCGCGATGAGACTAATGAGCCGTGTACATAGTTCAGGATACCTATAGGATAGTCCGTTGCACTGAGACAATTACTTGATAGCCTAAGTATGACAGATATCGGTTATGAATATGACCTATCATTGATCTATATGACTGAGATACGTTGCTTTTAAAAGTATACAAAATTATGTGTGGTATTTTATTCTATCTCCCCAGTGATAGTGGAAGATATTATAAATATGATGTGTTGATGTCTTAATTCTTTTACTGCTTTCTTTACTTCTTAGTTGGGATCAATGATTAGAGATTCACAACTTGAGACATATGGTATATACATGAGGGTTTCCTTTTTTGGATTATTTCGCTCGACATACCAGTTTCGTGTTGTGGATTCCCAATTGTTGATTTTATTAGATTATCTTTTCTTAGTTCGGTGTTAATATTTAGGTGTCTACAATTTGAGACATATGGTATATATATAATGGTTTCCTTATTTGGATTATTTCGCTCGACGTACTATGTTTCGTCTTGTAGGTGCCTAAATATTAACTCTATTCGATACGGAGAAAATGAATCAGGTAGGCTATGCTTAATAGATAGAGCCTCCACTCTATCTAGCAGCCAATCCCCTAGGGGCGGATGGAGGTGATCTTGCTGTAATGCTTTGACGCTCTTTATATGATTCTTTTTGTTATTTTCTTTTCTTTCAGGCGGTACAAAGGTACAGAGAGCCGCAAGATGATAGAGTTCTTCCATAGTCACCGTCACATGAGTTTTTAGAGGCTCCACAGTAGATTTTATGTTTTATTCAGACATTAAAGTCTTATTCTCATTTTGTAAAGGCAGTGTGCCTTAGGATGATTCTAGTTGATTTATATTGACATTCTCATTATTTTGGTTGTCAGATGTATTACTGTTGAGACATGATTCTTTTTATTTATGAGAGATCTTTTCTATATCATGTCTATTATATTTATTCCCTTATTTTGCCTGTTTTGTACCTGCACTCCTATTTGATTTCACTAGAGGATATTGTTGTGATTGGTGAAACGTATTTATGCACAATGTGGGTGCATGACAGCTTTGACGTCTCTAGGTTCATCTTGGACTGCAGCCTTGTGTGAAACCAGGAGCGTCATAATATTACCCTTAACTTTATTACCCTTAACTTTTTTTAAATATTATATTATTATCCTAATCTATTCTAATTTTTCTATCTTCTTTGAATTTATAATTAAATAATTTATCCTATCTATAATGAGACTTAACATGTTATTGGATAAAGGTGATACGTTTGATATAATTCATATCTTTTACTTATTTCATTTTGCAGAGAAATCTAAAAAATATATGTTAGCCAGCACCTAAAAGTTTTTAGACCATATAAAAAATATCCTCTAAGTTTTTAAAATTGTAAAAACAACCTTACAAATTCAAAATTTTATTAAAACATCTTGAAAATTATAAATTTTACTTATTTCAATTTAGAGAGAAATCTAAAAAAATATGCTAGCTAAAAAATAAAAGTTTTTGACATTGGAGAAAGTATATTGTAAGTTCTAAAAAATGCAAAAATAATCCTAAGAATTAAAAATTTCTAAAAAACACCTTAAAATTTCAAACCTATAAACACACTAAAAACCTACAAATAACATAAACAACCCCCAAAAATTTATAAAATTTACAATAAACACTGTAAACTTTTTATAAATTGCATGATAAAACCCTTAAGATTATAAAATTTATAAAAATACTAATAACTTCTAACCTAACATTACATTGAAAATATAGGAGTTATAAATATCCCCTGCATAATTTATAATTTATAGAAAACACCCTTAAAGTTTCAAAAATTACAAACAAACACTCAAAATTCAATCTTTACAAAAAACACCCTAAGAATTTTAAACTCATTAGTAAATTAAAAATATAGGAATTATAAATAGTCTATAAATAATTTACAATATGTAGAAAAGGACTATAAATTTAAAAGATTATAAACTTCTTAATATTCATAATTTATTAAAAAAACACCATGAGATTTTATAACCTATAGACACTAAAATGAATATACAAAATTACTAGCAACCCCTAGAAAATAAAATATTTATAAAAAATATCATACTCTCTTTAAAAGTATAGGTTTTGGAAAACCCTTTCATGGTCAATATTACCCATAACTTTTTAAAAAAACATAACTAATTGAAAATCTATTATATTTAAAATGTACCAAAAAAAAACTTAAATTTTAGTACAATGCAAATTACCACTACAAAGTTTGGAAATTTTCAATGATTTTTTGTAGTTCCTTGATTTTAATGTAATTTTTTAATAGTTTTGTGTATTTAATTTTATAATTTTTAAAACTTTTGATGGTGTTTCTTTTGTAGTTTTCTAAATTTTTATTGTGTTTTGAGTATAATACATAGATACATCAATTAATGGTGATATTAAAGAGTAAGTCATTCTTAAGATGTATTAGGCTATAGTTAAGTATGCACATCACTATTCCTAGGTAGTATAGTTTATACATGCAAAAATTTTCAAACAATTTATACAATGGTTAAAAGGTTTTTAACTTTAATGTACTATTTTTTAGAAATTATATTAATGTGAACCCACCATATAATTTTGACCGTGGTCATTATAATTTTAATAACTTTAATCTATTGACTACATAGGTATATAGACCATAAAGTAATAATTTAAATTATTAAGCATCAAATATTAGCTCATGTGAGAAAGTAAAATAATCTATGTTCTATATATGTATGTAGTCAATCAATCAAATATATTAAAATTATGATGACCATAATCAAAATTATATGGTGGGTTCATATTAAATACAATTTGTAAAAAGTAGTACATTAAAGTCAAAATCTTTTTAACCACTATATAGATTGTCTAAATTTTTTTGCATATATAAACTATATTGTCTAAGAATAGTGATGTGCATACTTACCTATGGTCTAATAATTTTAAGAACGACTTATTCTTCAATATCATCATTAATTGATGTATATGTGCATTACACTGAAAACACAATAAAAATTTAGAAAAATACAAAATAAACACTCACAAAAGTTTTAAAAAGTGTTAAAAAACACCCTAAAATTTATAATTTACAAATACACAAAACTATTAAACATTACATTAAAATCAAGGAGTTACAAAAAAATTATTGAAAAATTTCAAACTTTGGAGGGATCATTTGCAATGTACTATACTTTAAGAGTGTTTTTTTATAAATTTTAAATTTAATAGATTTTTAATTATTTATATTCTTTTTAAAAAAGTTATGGGTAATATTTACCATAAAATGTTTTTCCTAAACCGATATTTTTAAAAGTTGTATGATATTTTTTGCAAAATATTAATTTTCTAGGGGTTATTAGTAATTTTATATATTCATTTTAGTGTCTATAGGTTAGAAATTCTCATGTGTTTTTTTGTAAATTATAAATTTTAAGTACTTTTTATAATTTTTAAACTTATAGGCCTTTTCTATAGATTATAAATTATTTATAGACTATTTATAATTTCTATGTTTTTAATTTACTAATGAATTTGAATATTTTAGTGTGTTTTTTATTAATTTTGAATTTTAAATATTTGTTTGTAATTTTTGAAACTTTAAGGGTGTTTTCTATAAATTATAAATTATGTAGGGGATATTTATAATTCTTATATTTTTAATGTATTGTTAGGCCAGAAACTATTAGTTTTTTTAATTATATAATTTTAAGGGTTTTATTTTATAATTTGTAAAAAGTTTAGAGTATGCATTGCAAATTTCATAAATTTTTGGGGCTTATTTATGTTATTTGTAGGTTTTTATTATGTTTAAAGGTTTGAAAATTTTTAGGTATTTTTTTTATTTTGAATTTTTAGGGGTGTTTTTGTAATTTTTAAAATATACAAGATATTTTATCCAAAGTTAAAAAACTCACAGTTTCTAGTTAGTATATATTTTTCAGATTTCTCACTAAATTAAGATAAATAAAATTTATAATTTTTAAGATGCTTTAATAAAATTTTGAATTTGTAGGGCCATTTTTGTAATTTAAAATATTTGGAGAATATTTTTTTTACAAAGTCCAAAAACTTGTAGGCGCTGGCTAGCATATTATTTTTTAGATTTCTCTACGAACTGAAATAAGTAAAGGATCTGAATTATATTAAACGTATCTATTTTATCCACTAAAATGTTAAGTCTCATTATAAATAAAATAAATTATTTGGTGAAAATTTTAAGGTATTTTTTATAGATTTTGAATTTTTAGGAGTGTTTTTGTAATTTTTAAAATATATAAGATATTTTCTCCAAAGTTAAAATACTCTCAGTTTCTAGTTAGTATATATTTTCAGATTTCTCACGAAATTGAGATAAATAAAATTTATAATTTTTAAGATGCTTTAATAAAAATTTTCCCAACTCGTACTTTTAAAGAGAGTATGATATATATATAATATATATATATTATATATATATATATATATGAGAAAACGGGAGGTGAGCTGCCAGCGTAGGAAATTTCCTACGCTGGCGCTATGTGTCAATAGCCTATTCGTTGGATGCTCATTTATAGAAATAACTGATTTTCAAGTGGTTAAATTTATAAAAGTTAAAGGTCCTAGATGTAAAAACACAAATCTTAACTCATTAATATCTTCCTTTCCTAATTATGCAACAAAACCCAGCCCTCCTTCCCAAATCCCACTGCCCTCCTTCCCCAAGCGAGCGCCGGCGAATCTCCTCCTTTCCCAATCGAGCACCGGCGAGGGAATCGAGCGCCGGCGAAATCCCCTCCTTCCCCAAGAGAGCGCCAGTGAATCCCCTCCTTCCCTAAGCAAGCGCGGCGAAATCCCCTCCTTCCCCAAGCGAACACCGGCGAAATCACTGTAAGAAAACATCTAATTGTAAGAAAACAATCACTCATTTTTTCTAAGATGTGAAAATTTAATTTCCTACAATTATTTACATGAAGATGTATGTATCTCTATTTATTTATTTATTAATGTTTCAAAGTACCCCTTGATTTGTTCTGTTCGATATTAAGTTTCAATGTATGTATCTCTATCTAACTGTGTTCTTGAATTTTAATTTTAATTTCTAAAATTTTGCATGTGGTGTATAATTTCTTTAATTTTTCATTTAGATGACCTCCATCCATTCTTGATTTAGTGAAAATTATTAAAAACCTTGGCTTGTTTCTTGATGTGATAAAACTTCATGCATGCCATGGCTTCTAGCTAGTTATATCTGTAGCATTGTGTCCCTGGCAAGGATAGAATCAGCATTTTCTTTCTAATTAACCAGCAAAATAGGTAAAAAACGGAGATTGCTCGGCTTAATTGAGGTTCGTAACTCAGGCTTAGGGTGTATGAAATCCATGTGTTGCATGTTTTCAGTTGGTATGAGAAGTGCAGAAGACATCTCCTTCTAAGTTATTTAATTTTTTTTATTTTTGACTTTAAACAATAAGCCAAAAGCATTCAATCTCTTGACAATTTGTCATTCTAGATGGTATACATTTAAAATACCTCCCACTTGCCCATAGTATATCTTTAAAATAAGCAAGAAGGATTTGCCAGGAGTACACGACGAATCAAAAACTTAAGTAATTGAGCAATTTTCTTATTGGACATTACCTTTTACCTTATTATTGAAGTACCATCATAATCATCGTTGTGTGTTTTCAATTCAAAAACCAGTGGCTTCGATTGCTTTCAAGCTCTTTAAGCAGACTTAAAGGATGATAACAAAGAATTAAAAGCATCTAGTGACCATCATAATCATCATTGTGTGATTTCTTTAATTTCTTACATCTTCTGTGTTCTTAAATTTTAATTTTAATTTCTAAAATTTTGCATGTGTTGTGTAATTTCCTTAATTTTTTATTTAACTGTTTGATGTATTTTCAATCTTTGGATGGTGTAATTATACTAATGGAAATTGATTAATATTGTTTAGGTCAATTTCAATATGGTTGATGTTCATGTAGACAGTTTGATGACTGAAAATGTGGAAGGAAGTGGATTTGTTGATTGTAGTAATACAGAGCATGAGTTGGAGCAAGAGAAAATTAATCATGTAAATTCTATTGATAATGGCAAGTCTAATACTGTGGAACCATGGATTGGAATGGAATTTCCCACATATACTGCTGTGTATGATTATTATAATGATTATGCAAAAATAAAAGGATTCAGTGTTCGTATAAGCTCAGGCAATTACTCTAGGAAAGAAGGAAAAGAACTCATATCAAAAAAAATTGTTTGTAATAAGGAGGGTCTAAAATATACAAATGATAAGAGAGAGCATGGAAAAATAGTAAAGCGTCGAAGAGATACTAGAGTAGGTTGCAAGGCGATGTTGCGGGTTAATCGTACTGATAAAGGAACATGGATAGTGAGCAAACTTGTTAATAAGCATACAAATCACGAGTTGACTAGTCCAGATAAGGTTAAGAATCATTATTCACATCGAAAGTAACATCGAACAAAAGGTTGTCAAAGTCTGATTGATAATTTGCATGAAGAAGGGCTTCCGCCAGCAATAATTTCACGAGTAATAAATGTTGGTAGTGGGAATCGGGAGGAAATCACCACACCGCAACAATGTAGTGATCATATCAGAAAGCAGAGAAAGAATAACATGGGTAATGAATGCATATTACTCATTCAAAAATTCATAGATAAAAGGACATTTGATCTAGATTTTTATTTTGCTATTGAATTAGATGCTACATGAACTATGAGGAGTGTATTTTGAGCAGATGGATGGGCCAAGGCATCATTCTTAAAGTTTCATGACGTTGTTGTTTTTGATGTTACATATAGAACTAACAAGTTGGCACTACCTTTTGCTCCATTTACCGGTGTTAACCACCATAGGCAGTCAACTTTATTTGGTTGTGCACTACTTGCAAATGAGGAAGAAGACACATTTGTCTGGTTGTTTACTGAGTGGGTTAAATGTATGAATGGAGTGGCTCCGCATGCTATTATTACAGACTAGGACAAAGCTATATGCAATGCCATTCAAAGAGTGTTTCCAAATACTCGACATCGTTATTGCAAATGGCATCTTGGCAAACACATGGTTGATCATTTATTATCTCTACAAAAGTTGCATGGAGAAGAGTTTGCGAACTACTTTAATAGATGGTGGCATAGCAAGACAATTGAAACATGTATTCAGCAATGAGATGAGTTAAAAGAAAAGTTCAATATAGAAGAAAATGAGGAAGGTTGGTTACAAACCATGTACAGAAAAAGAACACATTGGGTTTCATGCTATCTCAAAGATACATTCTTTGCAGGAATGACATCAAGCCAACGTAGTGAAAGTATAAATGCCTTCTTTGACACATACATCAACTCACAAACATTGTTGCCTGATTTTGTTGAGCAATATGATAAAGCAATATTGTCTCGTCGTTCTCAAGAATTAAGTAAAGATTTTGCTACTTTGAATACAAAGCCTGTGATGCATCTAAACCATTCGATTGAGATTCAAGCTGGAGAATTATATACAAGAGCTATATTTGAGAGGTTTCAGGATGAGCTTAAAGGTTCTGTATCTTTGTTTCATGATGAGATCGGAAAAGAAGAATCAATTTCTAAATACATAGTTGACTCGATCTCTACTGAAAGAAGTGTATGGGAGAATGTAGTTTATAATCAAAATGAACAGAGAATAACATGTACATGTGCTATGTTTGAGACTGATGGAATATTATGTAGGCATGCCATTCATATTATGATATCGAATCAGTTGGTAAGAATTCCTCAAGAATACATTATGCATAGATGGACAATGAATGCAAGACACCGTAATATTGGAGTCTCTCATGTGTTGCTGGAGAAAAACTTTAATAGTAATAGAGAACAATGGACTACTTTGCGCTCTTGGGCTTTGAGAGCAAAATTTAATAACGTGATGGAGTGGGCACCTGAATCACCTATGGTCTTTGATAAAATAGATGCTTTTTTTCTAACTTGATGGAAAAATATGAAAAAGATATTAGTGCTAAGCAAATCAAGGGGATTGAAGCTACAAGTCGGGTTGAATCTAGTACTCCTCCTTCCCATACTATTGAGAAACTCCCTCAAATAACTGTTCGTAACCTTCTCGAGTCTACAAAACATAAGGTGTGACCGAGAACAATTAGCAGATTAAAATCGGGACTTGAACAAGCACAGGAAAAAAAAGAGAATTAAAAAAGAGGACATGCGGCAGATGTGGTCAAAAGGGACATTATAAAAGTAGTTGCACTAATTCTCTTGTTGCTAACCCGTCAAATAACTAGGTATTTTAATGTTTAATTGTTCAAAAAGATACTTACATTAGTTGATTGAAACATTTTTTTACAGCTAGTTCTATTTATTCATCTGATTCTTGTTTATTTATACAGGCATAATTTGAAGTTCATCATCCGACTCCTAGCATCAAGTCATTTTGGATCTGAAAAACAAATTACAGCTTTGCTATTGTTTGTGAATTTTAGGCAGTTGCCAACATTCTATTTGTGTCGGAATACAATGCTCTGCATGAATATGAAGATCATATGTTTGATGGAATGAAATCATGTTATAGGCAAGCTTGATGAACGAGGAACTGATTTTTTCTTTAATGTTTGATTTAGACCTTGTGAACTTTTGTACCAGGAGTTAAATTGATATTTGATTGTGAACTTTTGTACAATGAGTTTGCAATCACGCTTTCCACTTTTACTGCATCAGTAGGTGGCTCAAGACCAAGCAACTCCAGTAATGTTTTCGGATGTCGAAAGTTATAGGGATCAATGTTGTGTTAGTTTTTTATGCTAAAAAGTTCCCTCCCCACTGTATGATACTTTCTCTTGATCTTTTTGACAAATGTAAAATAGTTCATAAGAGATTACCCCTGTTACCTCATCAGTCACGTGGAAATTCTAACTTTATGACCGTGTAATAGTGTACCCTCTCACTAATAGCTCCTCTTTGTTGATTCCGCGGAAGTGTAATCAAATTGCTCTCAGGAGCTTCTTTTTAAGCTTAAGGCAGAAATTTGAGGTCAAATTTACTTCTTTTTACCTGTATGCATGAATTCAATAATCCATTACAAGGATGTGAACCGTACACATACTACAGGTTGGCAGGATGTAAAAACTCAAATTCAGGCATAAATTTGATTGGAGCATTGCCCGTAGATGCTTAACTAGGTGATACACAAGTATTAAAAATGATGAACTATTATTAAAAGATTCAAATAAAGTGATGAACAAGCATTAAGAGATTGAAATAAATCACCATTCACATAGCTCTAGTAACTGGATGTGCTGGTTCATATCCTTCTAGAAAAAGGTAAACTACTACAATGAACCTCTTCTTCAAACCCTCTTGCTGAACTGATCTCCAGTTCTCAATTCAGCTATACTCATGACAACAGAAGTGCTTCCAATTTTCCCTCAGTTAGAATTTTATTTATTTATTTATTTATTTTACACTTCCCTTATTCATGTCCTATAATTTTATTATTTCATAACATCTATGTATCACCAAATCAAGGTCTCAAGCATAGTTGAAATGAGAAGAAATAAACAAGCTAATCACCGTATATCTGATTCCTCTCGCCATCGACAGACTTCTTCACTCATTTCGGGTGGTAAGTCACTTGATACCATGACGCTGCCTTACTCTCATATATCTGATTCCTCTCGTCATCACTTAGCTGAGATAAATGGCCCCCAATCTCCTCAAAAGAGCGTCTATATTTCTTATTAAGTGCATAATATGCATTCTTGAGCCTCTCTTTGATCTCCCCTTGTTTTCTGCTGTTGTAGCTTCCCAAAGAACAAATATGCCTTGTAACAACCTCTCCCTCTTTATCAACTCTGAATTGCCCTAACAATGCATTCAATTGTCGATCATATGAACTTTGGTTTCCCAGGCTTCAGTGAGATAATCAAATGCCTCTGAAATATCAAAAGCTTGATCATATGGTAAGTCCTCGTAAGCAGATCACGAAATGAGCTCAGAAGAGTTGTCCTCATCAGAAGCAGATTTTATCTTTCGGTATAATCTTCCAATGATCTTCTCTGATTTGTATGTTATGTGTTCATCCGTGTTCATGAAGTCAGGATAGACTTTAGGCTTGTAAGAAGTGAGCAATTTAACGAATACCCCAGTTTTAGGGAAGTCGACAGCAATGGCAGCTAGCTTAGCAAGCTTAAGACATTTATTAACGAATACCCCAGTTTTAGGGAAGTCGACAGCAATGGCAGCTAGCTTAGCAAGCTTAAGACATTTATCATCCATGGCCCCATTCTTGATTCTAGGGTTTACTATGTGCAAATGGCGACGAAGGTGTGACGCCCCTGGGTTCACACAAGGCTGCAGTCCGAGGTAAAACCAGAAATGTCAAACCTGCCATGCACCACATCGTGCAATAATATGTTTCACCATCATAATTTCTATCTCTCTAGTGGGATCAACAACAGGTGTAGTACAAAGCAAGTAAAAGGTTATACAGGAATCAACTGATGAAATAATAGAGATCAAATTAATATTTCACCATCTAATATGTTGGAGTACAAATAAATGTCTGAAATAAATAAACTAGAGTTTCTCATCAAGTCTCAAATACAAAATGTCTGACAAGAGAAAATAAGGCACA